CCAACAACCTGAAAATGATGCATAAAAAAGCATATAACAAAATATACAAACAAAAAAACCACCACAGAATTCAATAAAGCAGCATAAAAATTAGTGTTACACATTATGGAACAGGTGACAATGAAAGTAACAATTTAAATATCCAAGCTAACTATATGGTTCTTACTTTTTATTACACATACTATTTCACATCATATTATGAATTATTTATGCACACAGTTCGATACCTTATTGCATATCGACAATTACAAGACGTTAGTCTGAGAAATCGCTAATTTCACTTTTTTCATAACAGAAAGTAATGAATATGTCAAGCTTTTCAGATCATCTCTTTCTTCACCTTTCATGACCGCGTCTCCTGGTACATCGCGTCAGACAATGCTCCCATTGTTCCCTATCCAGTGCCAGAGTCTGAGCTCCAATAGAAGATAACTGGAGTCTAGAGCAAACTCCTTCCATACACTTGCGCCAGGTTAACTTTGGTCAGCTGGGTAAATAATAGCTTCGCTTTTCTTTCTGGAACTTTCGCAACACGAACCCAAACCATCACAGTTGTGATTTCTCAGTCTGAAGGAACAGCGGCAGTACACCAAGGCTCTCATGAATTTCTGAACTCATTTCAGATTTTAAACAAAAACAACTCACTAAAAAGGCAGCATTAAGACTGATAGGAGTGAGAATGCATTGACAATGTTCACTTCGAAAACTTCAGTTTCCAGTAGTGTATGAAAAAAGTCGAACCTTCCCAAATACGGTATGTTTATCCTGCAGTTCAGGTGCCTTTTCCAGTGTAAAAAAGAACTGCGAGCCGTTATCGTTTGGTCCGCCATTCGCCATTGCAACAAGGCCACGTCGTATGAATTTGAGACGACTGTGAAATTCATCCTAAATATATAAATAGAAAAACTGATCAAAAAGCAGAAGAGCCGTATAAAAAGTATCATCGAAAACATCTTCAACAACTATAAATTAATGAGCTATAGTCTGATCTGTGAACAAAAAAACGTGTGTGTGTGTGTGTGTGTGCGTGTGTGTGTGTGTGTATTTGTCCTTTACCTGCTATTTTTCTCGTATAGGAATACTATGACACCATGAAACAACCATCGCGGAAAAGGCCTTTAAGGTATGCAGGAGAATCAGTTTCGAGAACAGATTCGGATATAATCTG